ATCAATAATGGATTAATTTCTTGCTGGTATTTTTTAGTAGTAGGAGAGGATTTTTTTCAAAAAAAGCTTAATTAATTTTCTTTAACAACACTTTTGGAAAAGGCGCGATTTTAATCAAGTGATTTCTTTTTCATTTTTTTTTTTTTACTTATAAATACTACCTCTGAACGTTTTAAAAAAAAATTGGGAGAGTGATCATGATCAATGATCAAAAGATTTATACAACGCAATCAATTTTGTGAATCGAAAATTTTCGAAAATTTCCAAAGAGAGATAGTATTGTTGCCAATTCTTTCTAAATATTACCAAAGTATTGCCAATCTTTTCTAAATTGTTACAAAGTATGTTGCACTGATTTGATCGAGTTGTATTCTTTCGTTAAATTCATTAAAAGAACTCTTTATATAATAGAACAAAATATTATTTATTTATATAATAATGAGTAATAATAAAGCACAAAAAAACAAATTTCAAAAAAATGATTCAGGCAGTGAAATTGATTTTGAGGAAGAAATGAAAAAAAATCAAGATTTAGACATGCCTAATTCTTTAATAACTAAAATTATTGAGAATGCAGTAAGTTTTATTTATTTGCACAAACTTTTAACATTTTTTTACTATAAAAACTGATATTAGAAAAATAATCAAAAAATATAAGATAGGTAATAATCAAATAGAGAATAATGCTAAATTGGCTATAATAAAATCAATTACATCTTTTATAAAATTGATAAGTAAAAGGTATAAAATTTAAGTGATAATATATTTTATATTTTATAATAATTAATCATCAATTTTTTTTTTTTGGTGGGAAAAAAGTGCTAATAAAACTGCAAAGGATAATAACCATAAAAATATAATAGCTGATGATGTATTTAAAGCATTAGATTCTAATAAATTTAAAGAATTTATACCAAGGCTAAAAGATGAATTAAAAGGCAATTAATTAACATAACAAATAATAATTATTGTTTTATGATTGATTGATTGATTGATTGATTATTTTTTTAAAATGAAATTATTAAAGATCAAGTTAATTATATATCTATTTTTTATATAGTTTTTCAAGCTGAACAAAAACTTAAAAAAAACAGTGGTGGAGCTTCTTCAACCTCTATTAATATTGTTGCTACTACTATTATCGAATCAATTCCTGACAATGACGTTGCTGTATCATTAGAATCTAATAGTAGCAATAACAATAATAACAGTAACTCAAAGTTAAAAGAAAAAAGATTAAATTTTTCTTCTGATAATAATAATACTTCTACAATTGGAACTTTTGCTGATAATAGCAATAAAAATAAAAGTAATAAAAATATTAGTAATAGTGTTATTGATGATAAAGATATTGATGGTGGTGGTGGTGGTGGTGGTGGTGGTGGTGGTGGCAGCAATGATGGTGATGGTAATTATAGGAAAAAATTAAAGAGGTCACATGATAATATTAATGAAGCTAATATAATATGATAGATATTAGATTAAAAGAGAAGTTATTGGTCTTAACAATAGCATTAATAACAATAGAACAATAGCATTAATAATTATAACAATATTATAATTATTTAATATTTTATAATAATAACAATTAATCAGGAAAAAAATATGTATTTTTGTAATTAATAGGAATTTATAATTGGAAAAATCATACTATTTCTATCACTGTTGATACTTAATAATTAAAGAATCAATAATATTTCTGTAAGAATTAGTTGGCTTGAATCAATACACTTGTAAATCTGAATAATTTGGGTGATCAGAACAAAATTTGCCCAAATATTTGTTATCTTCTTACCTTAGGTCTCAGGATCATTTAATTTAAAAAAAAAAAAACGGTTCTTTAAAACTTTAATTTTGCATGGTCTTTGCCAAATATTGTTTAATCAAGAAAATTTCCCAGCAAAAGGTAGCAAACTTAAAATCATTTGTAATTGAATTGATGCTTGCAATCTCATTAATATGACGAGTTAATTAAGGAGAATAAAAGCACAAACTTGCTGTTAAGAATATAAGTGATTGAGTTCATTGATTTAGATTTTTGATAATCCATAGATTTCTGCACAATTCAAATGAAAATTATTCATAGCGATAGGAACATTTCTATCAATTACCATCTTAGTTTTCCATCAAGCCATTCTTTTGGTTATAAGACGATTGTTTATCAGATGACTTCCAATGTTTTCAACAATATCCATTTCCTTCATTGTTTTATCAAAAGAAGAGGAAAGGATGCAAATTGAAAATTGTCTGTGATTAGGATGAATGTTTACAACATCTTAACCTAGTAATTTAATATGAATTAATTAAGGGAAACAGATGACACAAAGAGGAATTAGGCCTTTTAAATTTTTTCAGAGAAACATTAGCAGTGGATTATTTAGTATTAGGACAAAGGATATTATTAATGAAGAGATCGAAAGAGTTTGAAAGAATTTGAAAAGAAGGTAAGAAACCTTGATAGTGGTAATTTCACAGTTTACTTTCATTTGGAAAAAATGGGTAGTTCACTGTAAGGGGCATATCGAATTGTAAGTGCGTATTATTCCCTTTAGAAAAGAAAAGTTTATCTACAAGAAGCACATGGTAAAATGTAAATAGTCCATCTTTTCTTTTTAATCCTTTTGGCAATATAAGTGCAAATTAAATTTGGATACGTGCTCTCAAGCAAATCTTGTTAGAGTGAACAATAGTAAAATCCCATTCACAGCGATCATTTTTTTATAGTTTGTTAAATTGAATGTTACAATAGAAAAAAAAGAAAAAAATTACATATGGAACTGAGGAGTTTACTTTAACGAGCTTTGACCATGTTAAAAATTATCTTATGCGCTACTTGCAATGACATGTAATAATAAGTTTAGGTTTTTTGTTTTTTTTCTGGTTCATTTAAATTATTAAATACAGTACATGCTTTGTATTGGTTTATGTGAATTATTAAAATTATATGGTAATAACGTTTATTTTTAATTGATCTATATTTACAAATATTATTAAGTGTATCTAATAAATAAGTAATAATAATAATAATAATGTTAGTTAGGTTGGACTTTTACGTCCTTCAATATCTCTTTGTCGTCTTACAAGATAATTTAACTTTTCCATCACCTAAATTAAATATGAACCAAAACAAGCAATCATAAGTTTAATTATTAAAGAAAAAATTTTTTTTTCAATTAAATTGAACATTACGTTACCTCTTCTAATTTACGTTTTCTTTCTTGTAATTCCAAATGCGTGCAAATGTAAGGATTTTCTTTTGCAAAAGATAATATTTGTTTTCGATCCAAGTCATAAATGAGACGATTATCAACTTCTCTTGGAAATTGAAAGAAAAATTCATTTAATAATTCCACTTGAATAAACATCACAGCAGTATATGTAAGTTTCTCAGCCACAACATTTAAAAATGCTTCAGGACAAAATTGCTTGTTTTCAGGTAACTTGCATTGTCTTGACTTGAGAGCAGCTAAACGATATTTAAGTATCATGGAGCGATCCCGAAGAAATATTGCTTCACGAGCTTTTTCAAGTAATTTTGCATTGAAATGTAGACGATGATTGTCATAATCATTTTCTTCGATAACTTTATTGGACGCTGGCGGTATATTATGGATGATTGTAACTTCCTCGTTGATTTCTGTAACAGAACCTTCTTTTGCCTTAACATTTGCACGTTTAGCTGCTTCTTTTTCTCCATCTAGAATATATTTTATTGCAGCTCTTAATTTTTTTTTACCTACAGTATTTTTGATTTGTTGTAAGACAGTGTCACAATACTCTAATTCTTTTTCTACAAGTAAAATCGATCTCTTTAAACCTTCAGCCCATTCTTGTTCATTACATTCAACTTCATATTTATAAGGTTTTACACAATTTTCAACTTGATCAGCGGTGGTGGGAAATTTGTTACGTAAAATTTCATTACTAAAATTAAGCACTTTTTTACTAGTATCTGGGTGATGATTCAATGGTTCCATTGATGCTAATTTCTCCATATTTGCCATTAATACATCTACTACTAATTGAGTACTTGTTCTTCCTATACCGCTTTTAGTAAGTGTGGCAGAACTCATGTCAAGTTTATATTGCCAATAAAGATCATCGGGCGGTGTTTTTGGCAAGTCAACAATCCTTTTATCTGTCCAATACAACTCTGCACAAAGATCTAGCACTCTCTGCTCTAACATAGCACGTACTTCATTTCTAACTTGAGGTTTTCCAAAAGAATGTGCAAAGTCTTTGAAATTATGTTTAATGCTGTCAATGGTTTCAGCAACATAAGATTCTGCTGTAATTCGTCTAAATATCAACATTAATAAAGTTTTTTAATGAAGCGTATATATAAAGCAAAGAAAATATATATATATACGTATATCATGTAACAAACCTGTCGTTATATTGTACTTTAAATTGATAACGAGCCTCTTCTAATTCTGATTGGACCGCTGAAACAATTGAAAACAATGATTTTGCCATATTTTCCTCCAACACTTCCATAAGTTTTCTACGTAAAGTTCCAGTACCAATTTGAATGCCTCGTTGACTATACACATAATTACTCCTAAAAAATTGGTCCTCACGTCGCATCAAAGCTGATGTAATATTTTTTTGATTATTTTTGTTTTCTAAGGGTTTGCAAACAACACCAATATAACCCAGATGTAATGGATAATCGGTGTTTCTTAATATACTTGCACCAATTTCTGGTTCAACTAAATCCATTTTTGTTATAACACCAATAGTACGCAAACCTAAAGAGTCTACTTTGCGACTAGCTTTTAAAGCTTCTGAATTTGCCAAATCTACGTCAGCAGAACATACTGCTAATATAATATTTGGCTCTCTGATATATTGCTCACATAATTCAACAATTTTTTCTTTTAAAGTTTCAGGTTGGTTTTTATTTGTGACTTGAATGTAACCAGGTAAATCTATTAAAGTCAAGTCAGGAACATTGGGTGAATAGATACGAAGTTCAATTGGTTTGTTGGAAACACATTCAGACTCTGGTACTGCCAAATTAAGATCACGTAATGTTTGTTGTATATGTAAAAAATCATGTATTTTTCCTAATCCAAGTTGAGGAAATTCACCATATTCTTCTTTAGATTTAGACGTATGTATTAATGTTAGCTCAATTGGTCTCCGAGTGACCATATTTGATCCTCTGAAAAATCAGTTAAACAATCAAAAAATATGCATATTCTTAATATTATATTAAAATTTAAATATTAAAATCAAAGAAAAAAAATAAAATAAAAGGAAAACCTTACTTTGGCAAAAATTCATGACCAACAATTGCTTCTAATACAGAACTTTTACCAGAGCTTTGACTACCAATTACTACAATACTTGGTAATTTTAATGCCTCTTTATGATCAATGCTCATTAAAATATTACGAACTTCTATCAATTTTTTTGTAAGCACCATGAATTCATCATCTTGTGCTGGAATACCACGTTTATTTTTATGTGCTCCAGAATCTTCACCATCATTCTCATCATTATCTTTTTCTCCAGTCATAAATAATGAAGCTGCAGTTGCAGCAGCAGCAGCTGATGATGATGATGGACCACTATTACCACTATTACCACCACTAGATGATTCTGAATCGCCTTCATCCTCCTTTTTGATAAATTTTGGTCTATCTGAATCAGCCTTGAATGAATTTGACGATGATTTTGATTGAGTTGGATTTTTAGAAAACATATTTTTTACAAAACCGGGTATTTCTATTCCAACATTCATATTTGTTAATCCACCAATTGATCCTATTGCAGACTTTACACCACTCGTTAGAGATCCAAGCATTTCAGAACTTTTATTTGCCATATCTACAATAGATTATATATATATATATATATAAATATTTACATTCACGTAAAAATACTTTTCATTTTGTTCATAGAATATATTTGACTTACCGTTAAATTTATAATTTGCATATGTCAAACCACCAACCCCTAATGTAAAGCCAGCTGCAGGTATTCGCATTGCATGAAAAACAAATCTTGGAACTGAATATACTGAAAATGATCTTATTTGTAGATCTGTTCTAACTAATGCAAATTTTTTATGATTAACTTGAATTAGTCTGTAATTGTGGCTACCAGAAAACATTAATCCAGAAGTATTCTTTATGAAACTTGTGGTAAGCAAAGTAGATGCACTTGCCATAGTTTTTCTCATAATCAGGCGATCCATGATTTTTAAATTGGAAAAAGAATTATCAAAATATTTTGTTCCAAAAAAAAAATTTAAATCAAATCACAAATCATGTGCAACAAAACCCAAATGTAGTAGATTCAATTTACATATAAAACTAGAAGACTATTTTTTAATAAATTGGGTAACTAATTTTAGCTCTTTAACTCTCATTTTTAATAATTAGATAATGTATATTATTATATGGGGCATGCTGTAACAAAACCAGACAAAGTGAACATTGGTATTGTTGTATGTGAAATTGAAATTATGTGAAATTTGAAATTGAAATATTATGGAATGGGGTGAAATTCTGATTGGCTAATTTGAATTCCACATATGTGAATTGCGAATTCACATAATTTCATTTTCACATACAACAGTACTTTGAAGTTGACCAATAAGCAATTAATGACTATAGATGATCCACACCATATTTATATTTACCTTTTTGAAAACTACTTGCCATTTTTACAATATAAATTAAAAAGGACTTTAGTCTATCAATTTTCTCTAGAATGATAGATATCAGCCTTTGTGAATGCCTCAATGATTGCAATGCTAATTTTTTCACAATAGTTACTAACAAAAGTACTCGAAAATCTTTGTAAGGTTGTGGTGTACTTTATATTTTTGTTCAAAGTCTTTATATTTTGTTCTACAACAGATTTTTCATGATTTTACCGTATGATTGTGAAAACGTTACAATTCATTATTTATGTAGATTGTGCGATTCCCAATTATGAAAAAGCATAATACTGGTCATTCTAAGAATCCCGAAATTCATAAAACTAACTGACTCATGAACTAACTAATATAAGCCAAGCCAATGCATAACAAGCTTACAACTGAGGACGCAATGCAAGTTTTTGGTACGCGAGAACAAAAATTCATTTATTTTAAGTTGAGTTTGGATTTCATCTTCTTTGTCATAAAAAGTAAAAAAATGACATCATTCAAGCCAAGACAATAGTCTATTTTATTAAATTCAAAACATATAAATGGGACAGCCATCCCCTCATTTTTTTTTTTGAAAAACTTGAATATTTTCATGAAACAAAATCGGATCTTAATCTTTATTATCATCCTTAAAAAATGATGATTCATTGTTGTTGTTTGCTACTTGTTATTAAGATAAAAAGACGATTGTTAAAAAATTTAATATTAAGTGAATTTTAATCTAATTTGCAAAGTTAAAATTTTTTTTCTAATACAGTATATAATTGAAAGTTTTTCGTTGGCCTTAATAATAATACAGTACAGAATTAACATAATATGTTCATAAAAAATGAACTGTATATTTGACATTACACTGTAACAAATCATGCTATTTTCTACTGTTACGCTCTCATTTGCTTTACTTCTATTAAAAAAAAAAAATAAGCAATTGTGAGTATTAATAAAAATATATATCATTCGTATGTTCTCGCAATAAATGTTGGTTTTTTGGTACTCTGATAAAGAGAAGGACCTGAAATATATATTTATAATTTTATTAACTTTCAAGATGAAATAATACTCTCAAAAATTATTTTATTTCTTATAATGAACCCTTGGCTGGGAATATTAAAATAGATTATATATTTGTTTGATTATTATCTCCGACTAACAACGTCATATAGAAAAAATCAATGTATTATAAAATAATCAAAATCGTAAAATGTGTTGGCTTGACATCATCATAATTCAAAATTGAATTAGTCTTTAAATTAATTTTTATGTTTAATTGAGTAAATATTCTATATGATTCAAAAAACTTATGTTTACAATCATTATTACATAGAATATTGGGAAATCATGCATTTATTTTCTTTCAAAATTCTTTTTTTTTTTCATTTTGTCGGAAAGTATTCCGAGGTTATTTTGAGGTAGATAATGGTCTTATATCAAGAGTTCATGGTATCAATGGAAACAAAGACGAAAATGTTGCTGCTGTTGTAAAGATTTTTCTTAATTATGCTAAAATTTTCGAAGTGACTTACAATCTAACGTTCATAAAGAAAGATTTAATAAAGAGATATCGAAAGTACAATTAGAGAGAAGAACAAGTATTGCTCAATATAGGTATGGTTGAACCCGAAACGTCTATACATCACGAAGTAAGATTTGTTATCCAAAATCGCCTAGGAAAAGGTTCTAATGACTATATATTTTCTAGTACTAACATCCACTCCTATGGATCCAAAATGTCAAGAATACTAATACTTTATAATAATTGTAAAAGATGAATTTAAAGATAAACAATAAAATTATGGATTAACTTGACTGTCTTTGTTGTTTAGTCAAAGAATGCCCGAGAGAAAATGAAAGTCATACGAATGTTTACAATTCGTTGATTTTTGAATTTTCTGGCGAGAGAATTGGGAAAAAGAATATCAGAAAATTTCAAAGCCAGAAAATTAACGGAGCAGTACTAAAAGATGCGGACAAAACTTTTGGTTTCTTTCCATAAACAAAACTTTAAAATTTTAAAGTTCCTAAACGCCGAGATGAATTACATCAGTCAGAAATAAATTCCAGTAGAAAAAGAATCGTATAATCTATAAAGATTAGATTAAAAATGATGTGTTTGAGCAGGAATAGAGGAGCCGCGTCTCAAAACACACACATATGCGAAAGGAGAAGAAAAAAGTTGATGATAACTTCAGTGTACTATTATTATTTATATGGGATAAATAATTTGCCTATTTTACCATAAAGACTTTCCAACTATACATTCATAAGATTTTTGCCCATATTATTTTCTTCCATTTTCTATTTATTATTATTATTATTCTCTTTTTTAGGCCATCTGAGAGTTTCCATAATAGATCATGTATAATTATGTATGTTTAGTGGTACGATCGAATATATATATTTTAATTAAAAATTTTTTTTCTTTTTTATTTCCTCTTTTCATCTATTCAAATTTTAATAATTCCTTTCCTTTTTTATTCAAAATGAAAAAATTGATAGTAATTATAAATTTAATATTAAATTATTATTTAATATTAATTGAAAGCAAGTCAAATTATGCAATCGAAAATTCTATCACCGCCAAAATAACTATAACAGGAAACATAAATGGAAATTTTTACATTTATGACGATTTATTCGATAGTGGTACTCAACTGAAAGGCTACTATAAGAATGGATTAATTCCAAGGCGAGAATTAAAATATGACGAATTGTTTAGATTTTTTGTAATTTTAGACTATAGTTGTGATAACATAACAGTTGATGTATTATTTAATGGTGACTTCACTTTGAACACTGATGAATTTGTTTATGTTGACGTTACTAGAAGTTTCATACCATATAAATTTAGAAATAAAATATTTAACCCTAGGCGAGGTAGTAGCAAAGTATTCAGGACTTATGGAAATGGTTGGTATTTTGGTAAAGATATACCTCATACTATTGTAGTATTTGAAAGAATTACTAATATTAAGGATAAATTTAGAAACACAGCGGTGATTATTATATTCATTATATATTTATGTGAAATACTGTATTGTTTACTAATCTAACATAACATTTATAAATATCATTTAGTGCGGAGATATAGTACCAATTGATCATAAAAATGATAAAGATGTGATATTAATCAATCAAAAAGAAGCTAATTCATTAAAGATAACAATTCAAAATTCAAAGTTCAATGATGAACTTGATGATGGCGAGGCTGATAAAATTGCCTTGGAAAATAAAGACGTCGGATTCAAAAAGTATAAGAAAAAGAAATTGACCAACATTACTAAGAGTTCTACTACCAGTACTGATAATATTGTTACTACTACTATTGGTGTTAATAATGTAGAAAATATAGAGATTATCAATAATATCACTGATAACAATCCTGACAACAATACTGATGATGACACTGACATTAATATTAATAATGATATCAACACTGATATTAATGATACAGTCATCATCAACAATGATATTAATGATACGGATAATAATAATTCAGATGCTAATGATTCAGATATAAAGATATAATGAACATTGATATCAACAACGATGATTTAGGTACAGATCTTAGATATTGATAGATAATTCTGATAATAATAACAATGAGATTATTAGTAATAATTTTGAATAATGTTAATAATTTTGATGTAGATAATATCATATAGATAAAATAATACTTTTAATAGGATAGTAATGTACATTATAATATAGTAATATGATTATTGCTATTGAAAATATGAAATTGATTTATTAAAAAAAAATAGAATTTTGTTTTATAGAATATTAATCATATCATATTATCGGTGTCTTTTAACCTGAATTTTTTTATTGCAGTATGTCCCAATTAATATATATTTATTGTGGTTATTATTGCATACAATGTAATTTTCTTGTGCTAAAGTGAGACCTAGTGACCACGTTTATTTATCTAACAATCTAAAATATTTAAAGTTCACACCCCAGTTAATCTGATTATTGGCCAATTTGTTGATTTTTAGCTGATAATTTTCACAAGGGTTATAATATTAAAAAAAGATTTGTTGTTTACTTTTTTGGAGGATTCAATAATAATATTAGGGCCAAATTTTGTTGTTATTCAATATAAATGTAAGTTTAACTGCGAAGGAAAAAAAACAAAGCTTGGAAGGTTATAATTTACAGAGTTGGCATATCTGATAAATATCCAATGTCCGTGTCATGTTGAATGTCAACCCAGGTTATATAATAGACGGAATATTCATTAAAAGATGCAGTTAAAAAAAAAAAAATCCTAATCCTCCATATATTGAGGGTAGATATTTAATCATATAATTATTTTAACACATCTATCTACGAAATAAATTCGGGTAATGCTTTTTATTTTTTTCCACAGTGGGCTTGGGTGGTTCTCATGACAAAGCTTGACTAGTGTCAAGCAGCGACGATTTTTTCCTCATTCCACATCAATTCTTTTATCTATATATCTTTCCCTGTATCATTATTTAGAACATTTTACAGGTGTGATGAGATTACATGACCAGTTTTGTTAGATTCACAATAATTTTAGTTACATTATAAAGATATTTTATTTATTTGTTGGACAATTATAGTTTGTTCAAAAGTTTTATTCGCAACAATCATTTGTTTAGATTTATATTGGGCAATCAAATTCAGTGAATTCGTAACTTGTAAATCATAAAATATTTACTTTTAACATAAAAATTAAATTTAAAGCTAATACAACTTTGAATTATGAAAAGGACAAGAAATGGCAATTTAAATTTGTTTAAGCCTATACATACTGTAAACTTGATGCTCTTCCAAGTCTTTATGTTTTTCTATATATTATAGATTCAAGAAGGTTTAGACCAAAAGATATTGAACAATCCCTGTTTCAAGAAATAAATCCAATGCTAATTTTTTTTATATGACGTTCTAATAGTCAAACAAATATATACCTGATCGAATGTTAATATTAAATTCGGAGAAATAGTAACACGTAAATTTCTTATATATTTTGAAGGCGATACAATAAAAGCAGGTTTTTTAAACTTAAAATCATTAAATTTATTAATCATAATGGTCAATTATTATATATACATAATTACTGTTCAATTATATTAAATATAAGGCTCTGAACGATTCGATTCGAATTGGATTCCTAAATTTTTTTTAATGTCATATCGAATTTATATCTTTAATTTAAATTGAGAATTGCTATTTCTGACCGGTGGTGATTGTCACTAGGGCTGGAAATAGTACTTTAAAAATCCGGATTTTCCTTTTAAAATTTTTAACTTCCGGAAAAAAAAAGAGTTGCCG